GCAACAATGCCAGGAGCAGTAGTCAGCACAGCAGGCAGCAGATAATGAGGAGCCAAATGCAGGACCCCAGGTGAGCACAAAGCCAAAGACCTTTCCCAAAGCTTTCACAGATGTACTGCAAGCAAGTCACACCCCAGAGGTCACTCCCTTTCAGCTGACTGACTGCTCACAGCAGATGTCATCATGGAAAGGATCACATTATATCCAACCTCATCTGGGGGAATAACTACAACTCAACTGCTAAGCCACTTAGAATCACAGAACAACCAAATTGACACACAACCTTAACAACCACATTGCCCATTCAAATGCACTGTCTCTCTCCCTTTTTCTCTATCTCACCTTCTTCTGTGAATCCAATTGCCTACATGTTAGAATATGTCACCTTGGCCCTTAAACTCTTGTCTGTATTTCCACCCTTTCTTCTCTCTGTGCTCCAGTCTGAATAATTTTCTGATCCATCTTAATGTTTACTAATCCTCTCTTGGGTTGTATCTATGCCACTGCTAAACCCAGTGATACATAACCCAATGAGATATTATTTTCAGTAACTGTATTCTTCAATTTGAGTGAAGCCACAGTGGGAGAGTTGGTCATGTATAAAATAATCCATAATAGCAACTCTTTGACCTTTTCTTTGTGAGATAATAAATTTTAAAGAACCTTTGGCAATAGATGAAAATGTATGTGCCATGATTTTACTATACTAGCATAGTAAAATGTCAGGTTTTTAAATCTGTCTTACTCTTTCTGTGCATTGACACATTTAAAAACAGTTTGTAAACTTTTGAGTTAATTGTAGATGCATATGGCGTTGTAGAAATAATACTGAGAGCTGTGAAGGGCACAGGTATCCTGCTTTCAGCAAAAGGCAAGGGGGGAGGGGTGGGCTGTGCGGAGGTGTTTCCGGTGAGGAGACCAGACAGCGCACCACGGTTGCCATAGAAACATGACGTGCAGATGGAGATCTTGACGATTTTCAATACATGCTGGACGTGCCTCGCCAGGAGGAGCAGGTTCCTGTCTTCAGGCGTTTGGGACGCAAGGGTAGGTATGGGCGCTCCTTGTCCTGGGTGTGGGGGAATCAAGGGATTCCAGAACCAAGTCGCCACATTCCCGCTTTGGGCGTCGATGCCCCACTGTCTCCTCAGGGAGAGAGAAGGGCAGTCGTGGTCGCACCTGGCCCCAGTGAGCTTGGCCACCTGCTCCAGGTGCTTTCCATGCAAGGGCAGGGCGACGAGAGAGGGTCTTGGGTGGAGAGAGGCAGAGGGGATGAGCTTGTGTGCGTGCATGTGTGCATTTCTGTAGCTGGAAAGAGAAAGCAGGAGTGTGTGTGTGTGTGCGCGCGCGTGTGGCTGCAGCTGCCTTGTTTATGGTGAGGAATATATTTGACGCAGTTACCGTGGGTCAGGTCCGTTCTCTTGAGTTCTTGGCCCATGATAGGGACCGAGTCACATTTGTGTATTTTCCCCAGGTTTTGAGGGTTTCATGGAGCTCAGTGAGGGCTGTGGGACTTGGTGCGGACTGAGGCGCCACGGATGATTCTCGCCTGGTCCACTTGTTGCTATGATGGCTGTCAGGTGTTGCTTTCCTAATTGCTCCCAGCTTTCGGAATTAGCTTCCCACTGCAGGACAGAGCTTCCTTTCTCCCTTTTCTATCCATCTGCCTCTGGCTATTCATTTCTGTATTTATTTGTATCTGCAAGACTGATAGGTTCCTATCTTGCTCAAAGGTTTGTCATCTGTTCCTGCCATTATTCATTCCGATGCTCACTTTGTCCCTAAAGTGGCCAGTGGAAACAGCTTTAAATTGGCCTCTGTGTCCATTTGACACCTCCCTAGATCTCTTCAAGCTGGTACTTTGAGTCTCTTTCCCCATCTGTAGGGGAAGGAATGATACCTGCCCCAGAGACCATTGCTTTGAGGAGGTGAAGAGAAAAAGACTGAAAATAAATCCCCACAGCATGTGGCATCGGTAGCCCTCAGCAAATGTCACTTCCCCATTCTGCGTTTCCTGCCTTCATTCTGGGAACCCCATGCTTGAGACTTTAGCATACTAGTGTAGGTAGCAGGGGGCACAGTGGGAAATGTGCAGGCAATGGGGAGAAACCCTCAGTTCATGGTGCGTGAGCTTCCATGTCACTGTGCTGTGCGGAGGGGGTTGTCTGATGGCGCCGGGGAAGAGGAAACCCTCCTGCCCAGCTTCCAGGTCCCTGAGTGGGGATAGGTCAGGAAAGGCATGACCCCTGCCTCTTCTGTTTTACTTTTCTGTTTCAGGTCATTTCCTATCCTCCTACTCCCCCTCCTAGGGAAGCCTCAGAGGATGATGTCAAGAACTGAATATGCAGTGAAACCTGTGCTGGCCAGCACTTGATGGGACTAACTTCTATTTCCTAGTTTCACAGGTTTTCCACCTTTCAAAGGGTGCAGTCATACAACTTTTCTATTACTGATTCCAGTGGACAATATTTTTCTTTTCCTTCTCTGACAGGTTGGCACCTTACACAGGCTCTGGCTTTCCCAGGATTCACTATATATATTGTGTTCAAAAGTTGTATTATTCAAATGTATTTAAGGACAGCAATTTGGGTATTTAAGGAGAGCAATGAGATGATAGACCAGGTATAGTTCTGTAAAATGCTTTTTTTTCAGCAAACGCCATATTATGAAAATCAATCCATGCCTGTCAACCCAAAGCTTATCAGTTTCAAGCCACCAAGAGGCACCTCTAAAGATCTGCGTTGAAAAGGTCACAGCCTTGCAAACCCTGTGGAGCAGTTCTCCTGTGCAGCCCATGGGGTCGCCATGAGTTGGAATCAGTGGAAGGCAACTAACAAGAGCCCTGCCCAATTTAGCACAAGCAAGTGAGCAGGATGAGGAGGGGGTGGAGGTTCCCAGGAATGGTCTAGGTAAACAAAAGGTGTGGTAGTCCTCCACCCTCCTGGCTGAGGTCTGTATCTCAATAAGCCAGCCCACTTTAATTAGTATGTTGAGCTGGGAAAATGGGAGCTGAGAGCAGAGGGGGTAGCTTTCTGGGGGGCCACTTTATAATATTTGAAGTGCAGCTGCTCCAATTGTCCAGTTGCTGGTTCTGGAAATGTACATTCTACCTCCACCCACC